CACTGTCCAGATTTCCTCCTCTGTCCCCCGCACTGGAGCCTCTGCAACTGCCCCACCGATGCCTGGCCGTGCACTTTAATGCCGCTGAGTCACCTGTCGTGGTTTTACTCAGCGAGCTTCAAGTCTCCTCCCTCTTTCTTGCTCCCTGTCTCATCCCTGGGTTCAGGGTTCAGCCCTGAACACTCTAGAACACTGACACTTTTTGACGATAAACACTCCTGTCCCTGACCTCCTAACTCTATTATTGAAGTCTGGTAACTCATGAAAGTGGGGAGGTGGGAGTGGTGGGCAGAGGTTTGAGACTAAAGTCTGCACCAAAAAAGGAATGTGATGAAACTGGGATAAAGCCGCCTGAGGCAGGACGGGGGAGGGGACTGCGGGTGGGGACTGGTTTCCAATATGGGTAGTGAATTGCACACTTTAAGGTCATGCAACCATGAACAGGGAAAACCTGGGAACTTCTCTTTGTTGGAGACAGCCCGGCCTCTTGTGTTGATTTTCTCTAATCCTTTAATTCGGTGGAGAAGCCAACCTTCCTGCTTGATTGTTTCCTCAAAGAGCTAGAGTTGAGGGCCCCCTAATGTCTAAGAGAATTAAAACTCCAAAAGCAATGTTTGCAAAATGGGCTTAATTAAGGTCTATATAGCAAGCCCTCAGGCAATGGCATTGGATAGTAAACATACACCAAAATGATAATATAAAAGAGCCCAAATTTGCTGACATCTCACAAAACTCAGTAGAGGTTGCGAATCCTTTATCCTAAATGTTTGCTACTAGAAATGTTTTGGATTTTTGAATATTTGCATTATACTTACTTGGTTGAGCATTCCAAATCCAAAAAAGCTCCAATGAGCATTTCCTCTGAGTCTCACTCGTAGGCGCTCAAAAACCTTCAGATTTCAGAGCATTTCGGATTTCAGATTTGGGATGCGCAACCTGTCAGGCAGACAGACCCCTGAGTGTTATCAAGTCGATGCGTGGTTCCCATGTGCAAATTCATGTCTAAATGACTGTAGTATGTTTCTCCTCCCTGAAGACTTCAGAGGGAGCAGTCTGTAAGATGGCCCTCACTTCTGACACCAGCTGCAAGTTTGGGGGGTACCCCGAACCACCTTCACTCGAAGGACTCACAGAACTCACTGAAAGCGGTTATACTCACAGCTACGGTTTATTACAGGGAAAGGATACAGGTGAAAATCAAACAAGGGACCCAGAGATACATAGGGCAGAGTCCAGGAGGGTTCCAAACACGGGGCTTCCACATGTCCTCTCTTTGGAGTCGTGGACAGGCTTACTCCTCCGGGCAATGATGTGACAATACACATGGAGCACTGTCAACCAGTGAAGCTTACCTGAGCCTCGGAGCCTGGGGTTTTCACTGGGGGTCTACTGTGTAGGCTTGGCTTACTTCCCAAGTGGCTGATTTGTCCCCCTCCCTCCAGAGTTGAGTCAAAGGGACCCAAAGCCCCCACCCTATATCACATGGCCTTGTGGTTCAAAGCTCTCACCCTAAACCACATTGTTACTGGCTGGCTGAAGGCCCCCAGCCAAACAAAGACACTCCTATCAGGCATGACATTCCAAGGGTTTAGAGACTGCCCACCCCGCAGCCCCAGAGGCAAAGGCCAGACCCCTCTTGGGGCAAGGTCAAATTCTTTACACACTCCCCCATTTTCTTTTTGTTGGCCACTGCACTCAGGAGCCTGGCCCGACCTGGGCCCTGCCTTGTTCCTCAGGCCTGTCCCAGTGCTGCACCTGCCACCAAGATTTTGATCTTCCAGAAACTTTAAATATTAGAGTGATGACACAATGGTCACATTACGTAAATATAAAGACAAATCACTGCCTTGATGTTTGTGCTTGATTTTTGTCTAATAAAAACATCCGGGGCACTTGCATTGATTGCCACAGGCATTAATGATTGCCTGACAATTGTCTTTCTTTCTTTTCCTAACTCTGGGCAAAGGATTCCTCCTGCAGTGAGGGATACATGTGTCCTCTCTATGAGCCCCTCATCAAAAACTTGCCTTTCCTTGGGTTTTGTAATTTCTGAGTAGTAGACACTCCAAAAGTGGCAATTCTTTTCTTTTTAGAAAATTTCTAGATTCTAAAAATTTCTAAAATTCTTTTTAGAATTACTTCTGTTGTTTACATGTGTATCTTCTCTACTCTGTGGTGAACTTTCCCAAACCAGGGCTCTATTCTATCATTCTGCCTCCTAGCACCCTGCCTGGTATATAATAGGTGCTCAATTAATATTTGAGATGTATAAATAACACCTGTTTAAAAGCAGTATTAACAGACTATACCTTTCAGTTTTGAAATATGAAACATTAATAGCCTACAAATAACCATTTGGGGGTTATAAGAAGATAAAAATAATACATATTGCATTTTCTTATACATGTGTCCAATATAACTGGAAAGATATACAAATGGTAACTGTGTTTGCCTGTGAGAAGCAGGACTGCGTTGCTGGGAGGCAGGGTTGAAAAGAAGGCTTCAGAGACTGTACAGCCCTTTATGCTTTTTTGGATTTTTGAACCTTGCAAAATGTTTTCTGTATTTCAAAAATTTTAATTAAGAAATTCTAGCAACAGGGCAATGATTGGTAAATTCTTTATTTCGGCCAATGTCAATTACATTCATTACTACTATTTGATTTATTATAGCTCAGAGGAGGGTCATTCACTAGACATTTTGTTGTTATTGGACACTAAAAATTAGGAAGAGACTGGAGAGGGTTGAGAATAGGCCAAGGAGAGCAGAAAGACGCTCAGATCTAACTTAAACGTCAGCCTTCCCCAAAACATTTTCCAGAAAAGGTTTCCCATGACAATTATTTACTGGACAAAAGGGGACTGGTATTTCTAGAAAAGATCTGGACATGAAAGACCCAACTTAGGACTCAACCTAATACACAGCCGTATGACAGGGCTGGGATCGATGGACACAGCCATCTCTAGGAACACGCTGTCACTCACAGACAGATGTGCTGTTTTACGGCCTAAAGACGTTGTAGACTGTTCTCACGTAGATTTCATCAGGTGGTGGCTTCTTCTTGCTGCCGGGTTCAAGGAATCTCTTGATTGTAGGAATATTACTTATTTTCACTGAATACTCCTGGAAAAGGAAAACATAAAAGTTCAAGTTTAACAGCAAAGGTTATTCAGTACTATGAAAATACGGTTATGCAAGTGACCCATCAGATTTGTTCAGTAAATATTTTTTTGAAGGGATCTGATCAGAACTGCAATCTAGCATGTCTAAGCATCTCTGACCTCTTGGTATGATTATTTACAATCTCTGCCACATGACTGGAATCAAGACCAGGGGTTATACAAATCTCCCAGTTTACAGAAAGATGTCAACTCTTTTCAGAGATACAAAATAAAAAGACATACTTAAAATAGGATTATGATACTTGTTGCTTAAAGAGAAAAGAACATAGATAACACCCTGAATGTATTGATCTACCCAGAGAAAATGCATGAGCCATTTAAATAAAAGTGCTTTAAAAAGTCATCAGATGGTACAATTTATATTTTAAGATTCAGCTTCCTTAGACTTTTTACTCCTACTAGCAAATGAATCCTCTTTCTGGCTATCTGTGGGAGATGATCAGTTGCATTTTTCTTTTCTTTTTTTAAATAGAGACAGGGTCTTGCTCTGCTGCCCAGGCTAGAGTGCAGTGGTATGATCATAGCTCACTGAAACCTCAAACTCCAAACTCCTGGGCTCAAGAGATCCTCCTGCTTCACCCTGCCCAGTAGCTGGGCATACAGGTATGCATCACACCTGGCTAATTTTTTTTTTTTTTTTAATATTTTGTAGAAAAGGGGTCTTGCTATGTTGTCAGGCTAGTCTTGAACTTCTGGCTTCAAGTGATCCTCCCACCTCAGCCTCCCAAAGTGCTAGGATTACAGGCCTGAGCCACCATGCCTGGCCCATTTGCATTTTCATTGCCTATGGCTCAAATAGTAGATATTTATGTAAACTGAAATGGAAGAAAAAAATGTATTTGTCATTTATAGAGTCAAATCTTACCAATTCTCAGTAACTGAGAAAAATCCATTTGATGTAGTGAAAATTTTGAACTATATGAAGAAGCATATAATCATCATATATAATTATTCTAATAAAATCTTTTAAAGTGAAGAGGTCATTTATTTTAAAAAAGCTACTATTTACTAAATGCCCATTATGTGCAAAGGATACATAATTAAGCGCACACACACACAAATACGTATATGTGTCACTAATATCTTAAAAACCCTAATAATTATGTCAATTAATTATATGTAAATATGACAATCTTCTCTTTTCACTACTTATTTTAGGTCTACTTGTATTTTATAATTTTGAATATTATACCAATATTTAGAAGCTTGTTCCAAAGGATTTATCACTTCAAGATTTATCTAGGGTTCAGAGTCATCCTGTATAATAAACTCTTATGACCTTTTTTAATCATTAATCAATATAGGAATAACCCTTTAATTCAAAACAGATCTGGTATCATAATCTGAAGTCCTTTAATGTTGATTTCAATCTGATCAGTGATTAAAATTACATTTATATTTAGACGTGCCTTATGGTTTAAAAATAAGTTGTCAACATTATGAACGGAAAGTACCAATTGGTCCTACTGCTACAGTTTATCAAAATAGCCAGATCTCTATCACTAACCCTGAACTTTTTAGATCTTTTGTGTATGTATATTCAAAGAAAAGTACCATACTGCCTATGAGGTATGTGTGTAGTGTACACAAGCATATATGCATACCTGGAGAGATTTCACATTTGATAAGCTTAGCATTCTACATTCTTCTGGGTTTAGCATCCCATACTTAGGGCCAAAGGTACGTCTATGCATTTCTAAGTAATGTATTTTTAGGAAACCTCACAGACTGTGGAAAGGGTACAGACTTAGATCCCAGACCCTTCTGTGTCTCCCAGCTCAGTCACCCATAATCATGTAGCTTTATGCAAATCATGTCGTGTTTCCAAGCCTGTAGTTTTCACCTGTGAAATGGGGATAGGAAAGCCCACCTCCTAGGTTACAGGGGTGGGGGTAGGGGGCAGGTGAGCAAATGCATGTCAGTGCCCAGCAGGCCATCTGGAATGAAGCAGGGACTCAATAAATGATAGATCCCTCCCTCCTACTTCCTGTCTCTGCTAAGCAAATAAATTTTTTTTTTGAGACAGAGTCTCACTCTGTTGCCCAGGATAGAGTACCGTGGCGTCAGCCTAGCTTATAGCAACCTCAAACTCCTGGGCTCAAGTGATCCTCCTGCCTCAACCTCCCGGGTAGCTGGGACTACAGGCACGTGCCACTGTGCTCAGCTAATTGTTTCTATATAGTTTTAGTTGGTCAATTAATTTCTTTCTATTTTTAGCAGAGATGGGGTCTCGCTCTTGATCAAGCTGGTTTTGAACTCTTGACCTTGAGCGATCCTCCTGCCTCGGCCTCCCGGAGTGCTAGGATTACAGGCATGAGCCACCGCTCCCCGCCAGCAAATAACATTTTTAACAAGGGCAAAAGACTACTTCAGGTCAAAAGTATCCCAAATTCTGAATGAATAAAGTCAAATTAAAGTTCATCTCTGTGTCTGCAAGAAATGAATATGTGTGTGTGTGTGTGTGTGTGTGTGCTAACTGTGACATCATAAATGATACAGTGGCTTATTTGCCTTGGTGAAGTAAAGATTTCTATTATTATTCTACAGGTATATTTATTGAATTGGTCATGGTTGTCCTCATTAGTGTATCAAAATGATGTTTGCTAGACTTAGAAAAAAATTTTTTTTCCTAAAAAGCATGTGTGTTACTCTTTGGGAATATAGCGTGTCTTTCTTGGCTTTTGATAGCTTGGTCAAAGATATATCATTTTGGTCTATGTTGGAGATTGGTAACTTTTTTCTGTAAGGGACTAGTCAGCAAATATTTTTAAGCGTTGCAGCCCACACAGTCTCCATCAGATCTACTTGACTCCACTGTAGGAACACAAAAGCAACCTCAGACGACAATGTTTAAGTGACTGGGCATGGCTTTGTTCCAATAAAATTTATGAACACTGAAATTTGAATTCGTGTCTCATAAAGTATTATTACTCTTGTGATATTTTTCAACCATTTAAAAATGTAAAAACCATTCTTAGCTCATGAGCTATATAAAAACAGGTGGCAGGCCAGGTGTGAGCCAGGGGCTGTAGTTTGCAGACCCCCTCCCTGCCCCATAGGGTAGTTAAGCCTATTAGACTTTGAGATAAAGGGCTAAGGTTCTAGACATACATTAGCCAGGCTGTCTTGTGTCTTGGCTGCTGACTTCTTCATCCTGGGTTGGTCTCTCTTTCTCTCTCTATATATATATGTATATGAAAGGCATTAGATGAGATTGTTTTTTAAAGCCCTTATCAACTTTAAAATTCTACGATCAATCCTGCCGAATAACACCAAGGAGTAATTTGAACCACATGAAAATCTTCCCTTGGAATTTCTGGGAAGGAGAATGGTGGGAACCCTCTGGGGTGATATTTAGGGTGCCTCTCATTTGCTCTCAGAACTCTGGGTTGGAAGTTTCCAATTTGAGACCACGTTACTTCTGAGAAAGGGAGCCATACCCTGAGGACAAGACTGTTTTTGATGCTAATCTCACCTGCCCTGTGTCAGCAGACACAGCACACACAGACTAGGAGGCCCTCGGCCCTATGGCTATCTCTGCGGAACCCCAATCAGCAAACTCTCTGTGCATGGAGTTTGTTCCAAGACGGTAGTTATAGAACAAAACTAAGGCAAAAATTTCTTTTGCATTCAATGATCATTCAACTCTAAGGATTTGAGGACCAGAGAAACAATTTCAAGTCCATACCTTTATTTCATTTTACTAACTAGAATTTTAAATTACACTCACACACACACACATACCCCCCAAGACAACCGAACAACAGACATTGAAGGATGGCCTAAGAGTTCTGGGCCAACCTTCTAATACATGGTTTTATTTACCTGGAGGAAAGGAAATGCAGACAGGATATTAGGAATTTTCTCTTCTAGAGCCAAAATGGTTTGGAGAAGAATTATGTCCGCAAGGCTCAGCTGATTACCAACAAGAAAGGTTTGTCCGTGACCCCTTAAAATCTGCAGGGTATAAATGGTTTGCATTGGTTACGACATTCCACATGGAGAAACCGGTGACGCTATTGAATCAGTGCGGGATCTAAAAAGGGACGAAACCATGGCCTGTCCTTTCATCCTTTTATAAATAACATCAATTGAGAGGATGCTCCCTCCATCAGAGAGAGAGAGAGAGGAAATGGAAAACATCCTTAAATATCTCCTGTAGATCAGAACGAGCTACTGAAAGGGAGAAGGGAAAAATGTATTATTTCTGGATTTAGCATCCGGTATTTTGAAAGAAATACAGTTTTCCATAAATGTATCTACAGAAGCCAATCCGGGAGCCTCGAGGAGGGGCGGAGCTGATGTAGGAAGTCTAGGGAACAGGTTGTCTCCAAGGGGCCCACTCTTGTTTCCCTGCTCCACGTTTCCATGAACACCAGGACTTGTAGTCACAAACTAGACTTGACTATAAATGTAGACTTCCTCTTACATCTCCCAAAATAGAGAAAAGACTGAGTTCATCTCGACTCTCCTTTTGAGGGTAACATATAGGTGTGGGCTTTATAGGAACAGATCATGATCGGGGAGGGGCAGGGAACAGTGGTGGCCAAAGGGGAGATGTCCTCCACCGTGAGCTCTTGGACGCCCAAGGGTGTGTGTGTGTGTGTGTGTGTGTGTGCGCATGCGTGTGTCTGACAGGAACTCTGAATCCGACTCCAAATCAATAACAGCGACTGGAGCCAGAGTGACAAAGTACAGTGAATCCGGAATCTGCAGTCCAAGACCAGAGTTCCAAGCCCGGGTCTCCATTTCCCAGCTGCATTGCCTTGAATGGGTCACTGGATCTCTCCATGATTCCATTTCACTCTGTGTAAAGCGTAACAATTTGTACCTCACAGGTGTATTTCGAGAGGAGCCCTGACACAGTCTGGGCCACAGGGACCTAAGAATCAGCACTGACCCTTCTTTGCCAAGGCGCCAGGTCCCCATGCCCTAGCCACACCCCACTTTTGCATTATCCTACTTTGCGCTCACAGATTGCCTATGGGAAAGACACCATGAAACCAAGCTACGGAAAAAATCCCCCAAACATCTCTCATTTTTCTTAAATCTAATCCCATAAAGATAGTTAGGGGAAGTCTGCCAAATAGGCCTTCTCAAATTTTTGTATCGTCTTTCTTTTGTGTCCAAATGGAAGCATTAAAAACAATTCCTTCCAGTTCAGTGAAAGAGGAATTTGAAGCTCAGAAAAGCAGACACAATAATAAGAAGAGGAAAATAACAAAACGGAAAACAAAGAGAGCAAAGAGAAGAAATAAAATGGAAATGGTAAATGGTTCTCCTCCTCATATCCAACTATTGGGAAGGATGCCTGATATATAATAGCTATTCAACAGCTGTTTGCTGAATGAATGAATGGGGTAGTTTCTGCTTTTCTGTATTGTACACAAGCCAGGCACTTGGTGAATGCAAGCAGCAAGAATGCACACATGTGGTGAACCCATGTTTTTTCTAGACTTCAGAAACATGTGGTCCTAGTGGAGCCAGAGAGGCTCCAAGACATCAGCTTTGTGCTGATGACTACTATTAGCTCTTAGGAGCCCATCAGCTCTTAGATTCGTCCAACTTGGCTCCATTCTACACGGCCCTGAGCAGAAGGGTGTTTGTGTCAGCTGTCTTAACGGTTTGGTTATGCCGCATTTGTGGGCATCTCAGCCACCTACCTTTTCAAACACGGGAAAGTATCTAATGATAGCCTTCTGCGCCATGTTAACCACTTCCCTTTGCTGATCATCTGGCTTTAAGAAAGGATGCATGATAATCAGCTCCAGCAGGTCCAGCGTCCCCTCCACATACATGTCGATCCTTAAAACAAAAAGCACAGTGTGGTCAGTTTTTCCTATCAGTTTCCACAATTAAGAATCCAGAGGGGTTTTTTTGCTTAAGGCTCTGACAACTTAAGTACCAAGATGCATTTACCTACACCTGCCTCTTCAGAGCAAAGATGCAAAATCAATTCTAGATGTAACATGAAAAAATGTTTCAGAAAAATCTGTCTCCAATCAGCACGATAGTCATGTCTGCCCTCTCTCCCTAGCTCCCATTCCTCCACCCTCATGCTAAAGCACCTGTGTTCTGGTCTCTCAGTGTGGGTTAAACTTCACATTTATAAAAATAGCAAATGCCACTTATTGAATGCTTAGAGTCTAATCAGACACGGTGCTAAACACTTTATATCCATTATCTCACTGAATCCTACCACACTACGAGGAATGCACTATTGTTTTGGTTTTTTTTTTTTTTGAGACAAAGAGTCTCACTTTGTTGCCCAGGCTAGAGTGAGTGCCGTGGTGTCACCCTAGCTCACAGCAACCTCAAACTCCTGGGTTCAAGCGATCCTCCTGCCTCAGCCTCCCGAGTAGCTGGAACTACCGGCATGTGCCACTATGCCCGGCTAATTTATATATATATATTAGCTGGCCAATTTATTTCTATTTATAGTAGAGATGGGGTCTCGCTCTTGCTGAGGCTGGTTTCGAACTCCTGACCTCAAGCAATCTGCCCACCTCGGCCTCCCAGAGGAGGAATGCACTATTGTGATACCCAATGTACAGAAAACTCATCAGGAAACTGGAGCTTAACACTTTGCCCAGGGTCATGAATCTAAGAGATGCAAGGACCAGACTTCGAATTCAAATTATAATCCAGTGCACACTCTCCCAGGCCTTGAATATCACAGCAGCTTCTCATTCCTAACACTCAACAATTGTGAATTTGCAAGAAAAGGAAAAAACAGTATCAAAGCACTTAAAGATACTGAAACCTGAAACAAAGACACCCCAGACATGAATATCTGAATTCAATTCTTTTCTACCATTTTACTCAAACTCTCTATACTAAATTTCTAACTGGTCTTCGTGACCTTTCTGGGGTTTTTTGAGGGTTTTTTTTGTTGTGTTTTTGGTTTTTTTTTTGAGACAGAGTCTCACTCTGTTGCCCTGGCTAGAGTGCCGCCGTGTCAGCCTAACTCACAGCAACCTCAGACTCCTGGGCTCAAGTGATCCTCCTGCCTCAGCCTCCCCAGTAGCTGGGACTACAGGCATGCGCCACCACAACTCGGCTAATTTCTTCTATTTTCAGTTGTTTGGCTAATTTCTTTCTATTTATAGTAGAGATGGCGTCTCGCTCTTGCTCAGGCTGGTCTCAAGCAATCCTGAGCTCAAGCAGTCCTCCCGCCTCGGCCTCCTAAAGTGCTAGGATTACAGGCGTGAGCCACCACATTCAGCCCCTTTCTGGATTTTTGTTTCTTGTTCACGCTAACATGGCGAGACATAAAGGAGACGGGCTGCGCTTCGATTAGAAGACTGCTAATCAGCTAAGGCATCAGCGAGCTGACAAGTGAAAACGCGACAGGGACCACAGTACAGGGTTCTCTCCTTGAGGTCCCTGCCAAAGAGATTGTGCTTTTCTGCTATGTAGTGGAGAATGCTTCGGGTCTGCACCAACTTCATCCCGTCGATTTCAACCATGGGCACTTGTTGGAAGAGCAGGTGGTTACCTGAGAGTGGAAGCCCAGAGTTAGAAGCGGTTTATTCTTCCCTCTCCCCCGACCCCTAAAAATAATGCTCTATTAAATGACAAAGGACATGCGGGGCCATAGCCTTAGGAAATAGTTGTAAAAGCTCACCGATGACAGATAACTTGAACTTCATTCAGGGGAGCAGATATAGCCATAACAGTAGCCTGAAAACTAGCATTGTTATACACCTTCCCTTTTCATTTTCACCCCAGGAAAAATGCCTCCCCCGCGGTGATGAGGGATGGGGGAAAGAGACATAGTGAAGATACTTCTTCAGAGCTAATCTGGCCAGGACAGTAGCCACTAGCTACATGCAGCTACTGGAACCTAAATTTAAATTAATAACCAAAATCTTTAAGAATTTAACATTCAGTTCCTCAGAGGGACCAGACACATTTCAAGAGCTCAGTCGTCATATGTGGCCAAGTGGCTGCCCTACTGGACCGTGCAGAATAGAACATTTCCTTCACTGCAGAATGCTCTATTGGAGAGCACCGTTTTCAGAGAATCTGATAATGAAACCCAAGTCACCAGCTGATACTCATGTATACTCTTTGGTTTCTGTCTGTTCTACAAGCCACAGACCACCTACTGCCAAGTTAGCTATTACTGGTCAAAAAACAATCCATGACTTTCTTCAACAAACCTGGATCACACACTTTCCACGTACCAAACCCTGGGGAGAGATGCAGGTATAGGACACAGCCCACGAGGGGCTCAGGCACTGAGGCCAGGTGAGAGGAGCAGGGAGGGGAGTACTCAGCACACGTCTGGTGGTTTCTGATCAGTGTCACCCATGAAAGGTGGCCTTACAGCCCTGGAGAGCTGGTAACCCTCAAGGGAACCTTGAGTTGGGCTTGGAGACCCTGCCGATGGCCAAGGGGAGCTGCGCACAGGTTACTAGGCATTCCTTAGGGACCTGCAGGTGGGTCCCCCACTAAGGATGGACATGGAGGGAACAGAGCTGACCAGGAGTCGGGGGGGGAGGGGGGTTGTTGATTTCACTTCTGTTTGGCATTGACTTGGGAAAGTAGCCACCTGTAAATGGGGACATTTGTCTGCACATTTCAAGCAGGCCATGATGCTTCAGACAAAGGGGGAAGATAGAAGGACTGGAGGGCAACGGAGAGAAAGAAAAGGGGGAAAGAGACTGGAGGGGGTGAAGGGCAGCAGAAAGTGATGGGGAAGAGCTGCTCATGGGAGGGGGAAGGAACTGCTCCCTCGATTCAGCCAGCTTTGACGGAACACACAGCATTCATGGAAGCAATTTCCTGGCAATTCCAACTATTTATTCCTTCTTGCTTTTCTGATTTTAGGATGCTGTTCTCAGTGTTTAGTGTCATCAGCTATCTTTGCCCTTCCACATAAATTACGGTTTTTTTAAAAAAAAAATCAGTATTATAGACAGTGGTTTCATTTTCATACTCACCATCCTGGAGCTTTTGCAACTGTTCTTTTGTTTCCAGAAATTCTTCATCAAACTAAATTTAAAAAAAAAAAGAAATATGATATATATACACAATGGATGATTATTCAGCCATAAAAATGAATAAAATCCTGTCATTTGCAGTAACGTGGATGGAACTGGAGGTCATCGTGTTAAGTGAAATAAGCCAGGGACAGAAAGACAAATACTGCATGTTCTCACACACATGTAGGAGCTAAAAAGGATCTCATGAAGATAAAGAGAGTAGACTGGAGGTTACCAGAAGCTGAGAAGGGTAGAAGGGCGGGGGTATGAAGAGAGGTTGGTTAATGGGTACAAAAATACAGTTAGATAGATAGAAGGACTAAGATGTCATGTACTATAGTATAGTAGGACGACTACAGTTACAATAATGTGTTGGATAGTTCAAAATAGCTAGAAGAGAAGAACTGGAATGTTCCCAACATAAAGAGAAGATACATGTTTGAGGTGATGGATATTCCAGTTACCCTGATTTGATCATCATACGTCATATGCATGTATCAAAATATCACATGTACTGCCAAAATACGTACTCTTACGAATCAATTTTTAAAAAAGATATCCCTGTCCCCCCGTCCCCTTCCAAAGAAGATAAATGTCATCACAGGTTCAGGACTGAAAATACTAAAATACTAATTGCCTCAAGAAGCAGAGAGAAAGAGCACACTTAGCATCCACATCTTGGTTTCTAAATATCACTGTCCCCTAAAAGGAACTAGGGCTCCTATAAGTAAAGGTTGATTTTGTTATGCCTGAAAGCAAGGAAGTGCTCAAAGATGAAAGATATGTCAAAGGCAAAAGCATGGAGGATTCTATGTGTGGGGAATTCCCTAGCCAAATTTGACACAATTCAAGCATCAAAAAGAATGATGTCAATTATGGATTATAACATACAAGAATAACAACCATCTCTAAGTCTATAAATGATGACATTGAAGAAAAAGGGAAAGGAAAAGCTCTTTTTTTTACAGAAGAATTAGTGCTAATTAATGGAGAATTAGCCCTAATTAAGGATAAAATTAGAAAATCACCACTTTCTAGCCTCCAGCATAATAACTAATTCTAAGGACCATAAAGGATGGTGAAATCACTGGAGTACAGAAGGTTCACACAATCTCCAAGTGTCACCCCACAAGTACTTAATCATGATTAAAGGGGAAATGTCTCTTTACAATGGAGAGATTTGGAGCTCTCTCACCCTCTGCCTAACCAAGCAATCAAACTCCCCTCCCCATGGGGACCACCCCGACATCCTATGCCTCCTGGGGCACAGTCACACCTGTAAACACACTGCCAAAAATATTCAACCAGAATCTATTAATAAATACCAGATAAATTCCAGGCATATTCAGCATGTGGGACATTCTGCAACACAATGGTCAGGACTCCTTAAGAGTTCAGGGCACAGGCCTGGCGCGGTGGCTCATGCCTGTAATCCTAGCACTCTGGGAGGCTGAGGCGGGCGGATGGCTCAAGGTCAGGAGTTCAAAACCAGCCTGAGCGAGACCTCGTCTCTACTAAAAAATAGGAAAAATAATTGGCCAACTAATTATATAGATATATTAAAAAAATAAGCATGGCATGGGTGGCACAATGCCGTAGTCCCAGCTACTCGGGAGGCTGAGGCAGGAGGATTGCTTGAGCCAGGAGTTTGAGGTTGCTGTGAGCTAGGCTGACGCCATGGCACTCACTCTAGCCTGGGCAACAAAGTGAGACTCTGTCTCAAAAAAAAAAAAAAAGAGTTCAGGGCACAACACCAACAACAACAAAAAGTCCAGGTGCTGTTGACAAGAAGTGGCTAAAGAGATATAACTACCAAATGTCTGAATTATGATTATGCCCTAGATGAGCGGAAACTGTTATCGCTGCTAAACAGATGTGTACCAGTTATACAGACATTTGGGAACAATAGGGAAAGTCTGAATCTGGATTGCATATTAATGATGTGGTGAATGCCAGTGTTGATTTCCTTAGTGGTGACAATGGTATTGTCATTATTAGGACAATTATTTATTCTTCCTTGGGAGGAAGATAGATGCTGATGTTTGCAACTACTTCCAAATAATTCAGAAACACAAAGCGGAGAGGAAGGCAGAAATCAAACGTAGCCAAATGTTAACAATTGGTGAATTTAGTTGAAATGTGTTCATTGTACCATTACAACTTTTTTGCAGGTTTGAATGTTTTCAAATTGAAAAGTTGGGGGGGCTGGGCACGGTGGCTCACGCTTGTAATCCTAGCACTCTGGAGGTTGAGGTGGGAGGATCGTTTGAGCTCAGAGTTCAAGACCAGCCTGAGCAAGAGTGAGATGCATCTCTACTAAAATAGAAAGAAATTGGCTGAAACCCAAAATATGTAGAAAAATAAGCCAGGCATGGTGCACCAATGCCTGTAGTCCCAGCTACTTGGGAGCCAGAGGCAGGAGGATGCTTGAGCCCAGGAGTTTGAGGTTGCTGTGAGCTAGGCTGACGCCACGGCACTCTAGCCTAGGCAACAGAGCAAGACTTTGTCTCAAAAAAAAAAGTGGCAGAAGGAAAGAAACAGAATAAAAACAAGTTCCTCTTCTGGTGACATTACTATGTTCTAAGATGTCCCGCACTAATGCACTTTGTGTCAAGAAGAGGAGGCTCTGCCCACCTGAGTCCAGGGATTAGTCCCCACCGTGGCTAGTGCTGTGTTGCGCTCCCATCACCCCAGGGAGGGGCTGAGCTGACCAGAGCTGCATCAACTGCCCTCCCCTCCTCCAGGGGAACTAGCTGACGTGGGGGTGGAATCAGGATCATGGGGTGTAGTCTTAGCTTCTGCCACTCGCTAGGTTGAGTCCTCGTAGTGTCTGGAGAAGTGCTCAGTGCTCTCAGAGGATCTCCACCTGATGCCCAGGGTGCAGTAGCCGCAGGGCAACAATGCTCGTTCAGGACATCTGTCTAAATGCCCAGGAGGTCAGCTGTGGTGCAGGCAATACTCCTGGCTCAACTGAACAATTTATCTCTCGGATGTATTCAACTGCAGTGTTTCTCCCTGCGTATTTGTACTAAAACCTACTAAAATCAGAAGTCAAAAACATCATATTAGTTAACTGGAGGCTGTTCTGATACATGCAGGGATAACTGATGCTCAGAGTGAATGGCTGAACCAGGATGAACTAGTCATTGCAAGACAGGCAGAAAAGTATGAGCAGAACAGGCAATTGGACAATCAACTGAAGAATATGACCTGCAGGGAAGAACTGTCTGTTTTTCTTTTGAGACAGAGTCTCACTCTGTTGCCAGGGCTAGAGTACCATGGCGTCAGCCTAGCTCACAGCAACCTCAAACTCCTGGGCTCAAGCGATCCTCCTGCCTCAGCCTCCCGAGTAGCTGGGACTACAGGCACGTGCCACCATGCCCGGATAATTTTTTCTATGTATTTTTAGTTAGCCAATTAATTTCTTTCAATTTTTGATAGAGACGGGGTCTCGCTCTTGCCCAGGCTGGTCTCAAACTCCTGACCTTGAGTGATCCTCCTGCCTCAGCCTCCCAGAGTGCTAGGATTACAGGCGTGAGCCGCTGCCCTCAGCCAAGGGACAAATTGTCTGGACCCTCAATTTCCAAGCATGCACTGGCAAGGTACCCTTCACTGTAAGGACTGGTGACATCGGGAACATTCAGGGGCCATGATAACTAATTATGCTGCTTCAAGAAGTCAATGGCTGGAAGGTTTGAAGTACTGACAACAGGTTGCAGTGGATCTACCCAATGGAAGAAGTGAAATGAAATGAAAACTTTCTCAAAAATAAAACTGCTCAAAAATTTAAATTTCAATCTAACCCACAGGGGTTGATTACAATTGAGGAATCTGACCCATAGGGACAAATTGTTTAATTGATCTGCATTTAATTGATCTGTTTAATTGATCTGATCTGATTTGCCCGGCTAATTTTTTCTATATATTTTTAGTTGGCCAATTAATTTCTTTCTATTTTAGTAGAGACGGGGTCTCACTCTTGCTCAGAGCTGGTTTTGAACTCCTGACCTTGAGCGATCCTCCTGCCTCAGCCTCCCAGAGTGCTAGGATTACAGGTGTTGAGTCACTGCACCCGGCCAGAAAAATGCATTTTTAAAAATAAGTCCTTCCACATGATTCTGACTTTTTACTCCTGGGAACACATATGCAAAACCTGTGCCTTCTGTCACTAGAATAACGGCGTGAAGCGTTATAAAACCATTGGTAAGTAAGAAGAAACAGGCACGGGAGCAGGGGAGGAGAGGATGGGAGAGTGAAGGAAGGAAAACACCTAATGGGAGCTTGGAAGGGGCCTGGCAGCTCCAGCTAGCCCAAGGTTGCCAGAGCAGAGACAGCGTCCCGGTTTCCATTCACACAATGGGCTGTCTTTGTTCCCTAAATTGTTCCCCATCTAGGACTCTACAGAGAACTGCCTGCTTCCACACAAAAGCCCTCCCTTTCTCAACGCTCTTTTTTGGTTCTTCTAAGTGAATTACTCAAAAGTCTTGAATTAGGAGTTGGTGGCCTTTAAGTTTCTTTCATGTGTTGATCTCCCTTTTAAAAGGGGGGATTTGCCTGGTTGGGGAAGGGGTAGTCTTTAGGCAAACAAGGTCTGAAGCATCAAAGAAACAACAACCAGCACAGAGTGATGTCAGTGATGACTCTATTAAACGACCTAGGGAGACTGAGGACTCAGACAGACTCCCTGAGTTAGGGCAGGCTGTTTATCAGCAGGTTTTAGTTACCTAGTTAATTACTCAGATGTGTGTGTTTTACATGTCAGATTCAATCCAATCCTGGGACACCGGGAATCATGAATTTGTCTGGTGGCTGCCAGCTCGTTCATTCCTCCCGATGGTTTCAGATCTATGCAGGCACAAACTTAGGTAAAAATGTCTTTTGGCAAAGAGATGGGAAGGAACCCCTGCCCAATACCGCCTTTTGGGAATAAACCATAAATAAATAAATAAACCATAAATAAAACTATAAACCATGTCGTTGGCCCTAGTGAGGGAGACTGATCTAGCTTCCTCCAGCCTGGTCTGAGGGGTGGGCTCATTATTCTACCCCACCTGTCTGTCCACTCTGAGGTCTGGGGTAGGTGGCTTATATGACACATGTTTTTTTTTTTTTTAACTTATTCGGGGTTGAGTTTCTATTACTGTAACCAAGAATCTTGATTCACAGGAGTAGGAGGAGCAGGGTAGAATGAAGACAGGGAAGAGAGAAGATCTAACACAGGATTATATCACATACATATATAAGATCCATTCAAAATCTATTAAATAAATCAGGAATTACAAACTCAGAAGCCTCCTGGGTTTAGACAAATGACGTAAATAAGTGAAGTCGACCAGGTTCAGGTCCTGGGACCACAGATTTCTTTCACTCTCCTCTTAGCACAATTAGAAAATATACCCTGAGACAACAGAGCATGGAAGGGCCGTCCCTATTCAGACCCAGACACTTGGCTGGACACGGTGGCTCATGCCCGTAATCCTAGCATTCTAGGAGACAGAGGTGGGAAGATCGCTCGAGGTCAGGAGTTCGAGACCAGACCCAGACACTGCTACCCTGTGAAAATGAAGACCCAGGATAATCAGATCTTCCCATTTCTAAAGAGAAGTGCAGAAACCAGGATCTGCATCTAAAAATGATGTCAACTAATTCAGAAAGTTGTAAAACACTGTGTGGCAAGTTACAATGATATACAAAAAATAAAAACAAACAAAATATTGATTCAGATTTTGAGGGAAGAAAAAAAAGAAAAACAAACAAAAAACCAAACTCAAAACCCAACAACTCACATTTGCTATCTTTGCAGGATGCTACAGTAACAACTCATTATTCTGAAAACTGATAAAGGAATCAAGCATTTATCTTGCCTTTCCTATATCAATGGTCCTTTAGAGGTTATAAAAGTGAAAAGTGCTCCTTAAATGAGATCATAGTTAATAAATTTGGGTGAAATGATAGGAAAATTGCCATTTTGAAATCCCTAACAATTATGATGACCAATAGCTGCTAAAGCCACTAGCTGAAAGGGAAATGGGGGAAACTATAGAAAGAAAAAAGGAAGCTGGATCACACTTCTGGGTCCAACGAGCAGTTTACAGGAAACAGAGAGGATAGGGAAGCATGTTCAAATCAGCGTAGCCTCACTTTACCATGTTACCTCAAGGCAACACTTTGAGGGCAAAAAGTCAAATCCAGAACAGGGGCAGTTTCTTCCCTAAATAAATGGTGCTAGAAATAAATACAGACACCTAGCACCTGGATCTTGGCTGCTAATACCATTTTCTATGAAAAGGGACTAATTCTCCTTGGAGAAATTCCTGATTCCAGGGCTATAGCAGAGAAATACAAGATAAGGCTAGAGCATTTTGTAGTGTCAGGAAGCAAAGAAGTGCTGGCAACAAAAAGAAGGCCAAGCTGAGAGAGCCCAGGGGCCAAAGCTGGAACAATTCAGGCAATTTGAGTTATTCGATGATAACCTAAAATACAAAATCAACGTACTAGGCCGGGCACAGTGGCTCAGGCCTGTAATCCTAGCAGTCTGGGCAGCTGGATTGCTGAAAGTCAGGAGTTTGAAACCAGCCTGAGTAAGAGTGAGACCCCGTCTCTACTATAAATAGAAGAAAATTAATTGGCCACCTAAAAATACATACAAAAAATTAACCAGGCATGGTGGTGCATGCCTGTAGTCCCAGCTACTTGGGAGGCTGAGGCAGAAGGATCACCTGAGCCCAGGAATTTGAGGTTACTGTGAGCTAGGCTGATGCCATGGCCCTCTAGCCCGGGCAACAGAGTGAGGCTCTGTCTCAAAAAAAAAAATTAAAATAAAAAAATTAAAATCAACATACTTACATCTACAGTGATATAAAGAACTAAATAAATTCATACATGGGAGAGGGAAACAAATCTTTACACAAAAATCCCACCCCTAGGAGGTGGAGCCTAATTCCCATCATTTTGAGTGTGGGCTGGACTTCACGATTTACTTCCAAAGAACACAGGTGAAAACAGTAACTTTACAGTGGAGGTACCTGGCAGACATGACCTTAACCAAGTGATCATGGTTACCATCAATGGTGATAGCTCATGTTGCTATCATGCAACCCCGATACGACGTGATGAGAAGGGCACTTCACCTCTGTGGCATTCTTCCCCAAAACCCATAACCCCAGGCTGATCATGAAAACACTGAGACAAATCCAAACTGCGGAGGATTCTACAAAAATACCTGACCAGTGCTTTCCCAAACTGTCAAGGTGTCAAGGAAAGACTGAAGAAGCGAACACAGATTGAGGGCGACTAAGGAAACATGATGTAATATAATGTTGGATCCTGGAATAGTAAAATGGCATTAGTGGAAAAACTAGTGAAATCCATATAAAGTCTGTAGTTCAGTTAGTCATGCACCTAGGTTAATTTCTTAATTTGTTATGATTATTACGTATGACATTCTCACTAGGGGAAACTGAGGGAGGAACCCTCTGCACCATTCTACAACTTTCCTATAAATCTAAAATTATTCCCATATGTAAAGTTGGTTTTTAAAAAATGAAGAGGAAACATAGATTTTTTTTTTAAATATTGAAAAAAACATAACCAAATGCAACGTGTATATCTTGTTTAGATTCAGACTGGAACAAATTATTTAAAAAAAAACACCTATGTGAGACAATTAGACTGAGCTTTAGATGATTATAAGGAATTGTTAATTTTGTTGGGTGTGATAACGGTATTGTTATGTTTTAAAATCTTCATCTGTTAGAGATAAATATTGAAGTGCTTCCAGATGAAATGATATGATGCTTGGATTTTGCTTTAAAACAACAGCCACAAAACAAGTGGAAGGAGGTGATAAATAAGATGAGCAAAAAACAGATGATTGTTGAAGCCGTTCTCTTTTCCTTTGTTTGTATTTGAAGATTTACATAATAAGGAGCTAAAAGGACAGAACAAAAGCAAAAACAGACGCATACACATGTGCAGGCAAGATACCAAGGCTAGTTTGAAGCCATGGACATAAACAGGAAATTTAGCCAGGAATAGTATAATTAATAAAAGTTCTGGGAGTCCCTGGCAAATCTCAGGTTAATTCCCTTTCTCCTTATTAAACAAATACTCATTGGTGGTAGATCAGAAGCCAATAAGCAAGTAAATGTCTAAAGGAAAAGAAAGAATCCCTTGAAAGGAAGGAATTTTCTGACTCCATGAAGCACCTCTGTGATTTGGGTGGAAGAGGCCTGGGGCTGAACGGTGCTCCAAGACTTATTTTTTTCCCCTCAGAGATCTCAAGGTTTTATGACAAATTTTGAAGAAACAGCGTATAGGGTACCTCGACTCCAGCGGCAGCTAAAAGCCATCTGACGGATTCCATCCGGCCTCTCCCGTTGGGATAGTGGAGCTTGGGCCTCGCTGCCATGATGGCTTTTCAGGCTTTCTGGAAAACAAATGCAGCAGCTTGTGGCTCAGAACAGTCTTGATTTCGTGCCCGGTGCCCAGGGGCTACATGAATATTCGGGATTTGGGCACAGCAAATTTTTTTATTTTTATTTTTTATTGCTGCGTTTTCCCCTCACTCAATAAAAATGTAGCACCGTTTTAAAAGATGAAGCAAAACCACCACCCCCTTGGCTTTCGTGTCGTTTCTATTTGTGATTTCTTACTCTGGATCTCGGGAAGCTGGGATTTTGGTGGGGGGGATCTGGACAAAACGTCGTCGAGACATGTGTACCGGCAGCAACGGGAATTCCACAGATTCAGAAAACAGCACATAGTTTGACCTTGAGACACTCTTTAACGACGTTCCAAGTGCAGCTTGGAGAGGCGAGACGCGGGGGCTGCCACGGAAAACTGCGCGCCACCGGGACGGAGCCTCTCCAAACACGCATGCTTTTACACACATCGTCATGTTTTCCGAACACAGCTACTGGAACGGGGGTGGGGACGATTAACCATTGTCTGAAACATGTGCGTCCATCGTCGCGCCGCCGCCGGCGGTGGCTGCCCCCGGGGTGCCGCCTGTCCCCGACCCGCGCCGCCGGGAGAGGAGCCCCGGCCTGGAGAGGCGCGCCCAGGCCACGGCTCGGCCACCCGGGACCGGACCCTCCCCCGCTCAGCCCACGCGGGGCCGGGCCGGGGGACCATCTGATCCTGCCTTCCGCAGGAGTGGGTTCGGGCTCCGCAGAGGCGGTTAATAAAAACACGCACACGTAGCCAAGAAGGACCTCGACCCTCGCCAAGGGGCCCCAGACGGGGCCGGGGGGCGCAAAGGACAAGACGGAGACCAGAGAAGGACTGAATGGGGCGGAGGGGAAGGCTGAGCGATGAAGGGGAGAGTGAAAGACTCGGAGAGGAGAAGGGGAAGGAAAAACGAGAAGAGGGGAGAGGGCGGGTGGGCAGGGCGGGAGGGAGACAGACCTGCCGTCCGCTCGGAGCGCCCGGAGCCACACAAAGCGCGAGGCCAGCGGTCTGCGGCGCGGCGGCACCGGCGGGCGGCCAGGAGGCGCTCGAGATGGGCGAGGCTCCGGGGAACCTCACCAATAGAGACGGCGATGTTTAGCATGCCCCACCCATCTGCAAGGCATTCTGGATAATGTAAAAAAAAAAATAATAAGTCCCCAAATCAAGTTAGTTTCAAATTAAATTTTAGCATTTTGAGCATGCAATGATCTTTTTCTTGCTGGTTAGGCTTAGCTTTAGCTGGGATTTCTTGTTAGAGATCCGGCACGATGAATAACTTGACCTATGTGTAAAGTCGCGGTCTGCTTTGGGTTTATATAGCTTGTGCGCACAGTGCAGCTCTCGGATGTGAGGGCGATCTGGCTGCGACATCTGTCACCCCATTGATCGCCAGGGTTGATTCGGCTGATCTGGCTGGCTAGGCGGGTGTCCCCTTCCTCCCTCACCGCTCCATGTGCGTCCCTCCCGAAGCTGCGCGCTCGGTCGAAGAGGACGACCTTCCCCGCTAGAGGAGGACCGGTCTTCGGGTTCGGTCAAGGGTATACGAGTAGCTGCGCTCCCCTGCTAGAACCTCCAAACAAGCTCTCAAGGTCCATTTGTAGGAGAACGTAGGGTAGTCAAGCTTCCAAGACTCCAGACACATCCAAATGAGGCGCTGCACGTGGCAGTCTGCCTTTCTTTTGACCATCAAGCTAGGATGCCTGTTTTAAAGGAACAAAACGGCAGTTTTGTTCAACAAAACACCAGACCACTAGAAGGGGAATGACTTGAAAAATTCTGCCAGGAAATTCATGTCAACCCATACATGATTGAACAGTAGGTATTCATTTTTCTAATTCTGCGTGTATGTGTATATGTATGTGTGTGTATATATATATATATATATTTTTTTTTTTCCCTTTGATCCCCAGTGGATCAGCTTGAGCTTTCCTTTCATTTTGTACATTTTAGAGACAAGTACCCTAAATCACGGCTCAACACAGCACCTGCCTGAAAGGGGGACCTTGGAGGTGAGGTTGTGATGGGGATAAGACCACAGGGGATTAGGGACCCCATTTCTGAGGCCTTGGGAGGAGAGAGAGGAGGTGAAGGAATGTCACCTGAGCAGGAGCCAGAGATGATGGCAGAAGTTAACTGCCTAGCTGGGGGGCATGCCAGCGATCTGGGAGTAGAGCAAAGCAGACTCCCACCTTAAAGCCTGAGTGAGGGGTCTCCTGCCTAAAAAGTGGCAGAGGGGCTCGGCATGACAGCCACCCAGGGCTGTAAAGGAAGATTGCAAAGATTGCAGAAGGGACGCCAGGCCCCAATTCTTAAAAAACACCAGGTTGAGCTCCTTCCCTCCCCTTTCTCAGCAGGACGCCTCAGTTAATGGGGAGCTAACCTCCCAGTAAGAAGTACTGATCTCTTCGTTCCTCCATGGAAGGGGCCACGGCTGCTGAGATCAGAGAGACTGTCTATACCATACCTTAAGGATTAGCTGTGCTTAGTAACAGAGCTAGGCGTCTCCCTGTAGATAAAAGAGTAATTAGCTGAGACATCTTGTGACTTTTAGGGGAGACCTGAAACTTCTACACATTGTAACCCACAAGCTTTTCATGTGAAATCATTGTAATGCATAGCACGAACAAGAAAATAAAAACAGGTGCTAGACTTCAGTCAGTACCTGTCCCGGCCCGCGGGACCTTCTGTTACTGGCGGGGGCGAGGGGGACCGTGCCTGAAAGAGATGGGCGAGAGAAAGGAGCGAGACCAAGCAAAGGGTTGTCAAGGTCTACTTTACTTGGATTTTTAGTAGGTTTTATATACAGAAAACAAGGAAGTAGAAACAGAAAAATAGAGTGGGGGGATGATGAGGCCTGGGTGTGGGCTAATCAGCCCCAATCAGCATCCCAATGGCACCAAAGCTGTTTGTGTGGATCACTCAACCCCAACCTGGCGGGGGTCGGGAACAATTGCAGGTAGCATGCCCTGGAGCAAGCACGTCATGGAATGCATTCTTCTCGGAACTATAGCTGGGGGGCTGGGTGCTATTTTCGTCTTAGGTTATTTTCCCTGCGTAGGACAAGTCAGGACTAGTCGTTGGAATGTGGAGGGTCTTAGTCTCCAACAAGTACCACCTGGCTCACAGGAATGCTGGTGGTGCCCTGACATCCCCGCACCCTTTCACCTTACTTTTGGTGTCCCTTGTCTTTGTCTTTCCCATCTCTTGCAGCGCACACTGCCCGGGGACCGGTTATAACGGGGGATGGGGGGAGGGTCTCGAACCCCCAATAAGGGTGATGCTCAAAAGGTAACTTGGCTGGTAAATAAGTTAAAACTTTTTAAATAGATTACAATTGTCGAGGCTACATTATGAAACCGAATGCAAAATTCACATGGATTTTGAAGTTTAAACGATATGCCTTCAAAAATAGTGCTTGATTTTTTATTTTATTTTATTTTTTGAGACAGAGTCTCGCTTTGTTGCCCAGGCTAGAGTGTTGTGGCATCAGCCTAGCTCACAGCAACCTCAAACTCCTGGGCTCAAGCGATCCTCCTGCCTCAGCCTCCCGAGTAGCTGGGACTACAGCATGTGCCACGCATCCCCGCTAATTTTTTCTAGAATATGCTTGGCTAATTAATTCTTTCTATTTATAGTAGAGACGGGGGTCTCGCTCTTGCTCAGGCTGGTTTCGGACTCCTGACCTCGAGTTCGATCCTCTCCCCTCAGCTTCCCAAAGTGTTGACGGGCCAGTTACAGGTGCTGATGCCACGCGCCCGGCCTGCTTTTCTTAACATCTATTGTCATCTAATGTATAATCTTAACATCTATTTATCTATCCATATGCGATTAAAGACTTAGTCTTTTTTTTATCCTGCTAAGTGTAGAGTAAGCAGAGAATACTTGAATGAATGAATGAATGAATGAGCAATACTTTGGTTTCTTCTTTTTTTTTTGAGACAGAGTCTCACTTTGCTGCCCAGGCTAGAGTGAGTGCCTGGTGTGCAGCCTAGCCCACAGCAACCTCACAAACTTCCTGGGCTCAAGCGATCCTACCTCGTCAGCCTCCCGAATACTGGCTACAGGCATGGCCACCATGTCCGCCTATTTTTCTATATAGTATTAGTGGCCAAATTAATTTCTTATTTATAGTAGAGACGGGGTCTCGGCTCATTGTCAGGCTGGTTCGAACTCCTGACACCTCGACAATTCGGCCCCCTCACTCCAGAGTGCTAGGATTACAGGCAGGTGTGAGCCACCACACCTGGCCTAAGACTTTGGTTTCTAAGGGTGGAGGAGGAAGACAGAGTTTAGGGAAAGGGGTTGATTTGTCTTTCCTACCTATGAGCCATCCAGCTGGAAGTGTCCACTAGACAGTTGAATAAGGCAGTGAAGACAGAAGACAGGACTGAGATCAATTAAATTGTCAGAAATAGGGTGAGTTCATCCGGAGAAGGCAGGCAGGGTAAGAAGAGAGGCAAGTCAAGGACCACTGGGCACCCCAAGAGCTAGAAAATCCCTTCCAAATAAGACGTAACAGCATATGTCCAATTTCATCTTTCTAATTCTGACTTAACACAGAAATGACTCAATGTAACATGAGTAAGAAGCTGTATTTTCTAATCCTTCTGAAAGTGATCATTCTTTTTTTGTTATTGTTTTTAGTCTCTAATTAAAGAAGGTTTATTGAACATTTATGCCCAGGTCTACTGGATTTGACATAAAAATAAATCATAAAATCCAGTTCTTGCTTTCAAGAAGCTTATTATCCCTTTAAATTGATATATAAAATTGCATGTATCTATCATGTATAACATCTTTTGAAGTATAATCATCCTCAGTATCCATAGGGGATTGGTTCCAAGACCCCCTGTGGATACCAATGGATACCAAACTCCAAGGATGCTCAATCCCTTACATAAAATGGTGTAGTATTTGCATATAACCTACTGCACATCCTCCTATATACTTCAGATCATCTCTGGATTACTTGTGTCAACCTAAATAACAAACAGTCTGTCTAAAAGAAATTTATTTGGTTTCCAAATGGACACTAGAGAAAAAAAAAAGAAAGAAATTTATTTGGGAATAGAGCATTGCAACAGCAATACACATGCCATAGTAAACTGTATGTGTATTCAGGGAGGTAAAAAAAAAAAAAAGACAAAGAGTTTCAAAGGGAATAATGGGGAGCATTACCTAATTGCTTTGAAATACTTATCCTTTGCTATCAGTATAAATAACAAGGGTGATGCCAGTAATTTTCGTGTAAAGCCTTTGTGCAAAGTTGTGTTTTTCAGTCTTTTGTTTTTATCAGACACTGAAACCAAGCACTTATCTCCATTTCCTTAATTCTAATTGATTAAATCATATCAAATTGCTGGTATCTTACTAGTTTAACCTTCGAAAATGGCAATTTCAGATGTCCAACCTCATAAAATAGGGGCAACATCATCCTAGCAGCCTTGTTCACCTAAAAGAATAACTGAGAAGTAGTATCATAAGACTCTATTATTACACAGGCTTGTGAAGAAATGAAAAATCCTGTTATAATAATCCTGCCATCCTATGACAGGTACTCCAAGGCCATTTTATTCCTTGGAAGGCCCTGAAATCATCCTGTTCTTGGGGACCCTTGGAGTTGCCCTGGGTCTGGGACAGTCTTACTCATCCCATCTAACTATCTATCTACCCACCTACCTGATATGCTTTCAGAGGCCCTGGGAAGTCCTTTCAGCCTTAACCCTTCACATGTCCACTCAGTCAGGCATGACTAAAATTGCTTGAACAAAAATCAAGAGCCTCAAATATTGGTTTAAGAGAAGAGTGAAACAATTGGCTTAAATTAAATCCAGCCTTAGCTATAAGTGACCGGTGTCAGACTCTATTCCAACAGCAGGTTTTCTTATCAGGAAGGATGGCTGAGAGCTTGAAACAACTTCTTCAGGGCTCCTGAAGGGACAGAGAGGGACCACCATGATGCCAGTAAGTTAGACAAATGCCCACGATTACACAGTAAGCTTGCTGTGTTCTGACGGTGAGAGGCTCATTTAGGGATTCGCCGAGACAAGCATTAAGAAATTATAAAATATGGCCGGGCGTGGTGGCTCACGCCTGTAATCCTAGCACTTTGGGAGGCCGAGGCCGAGGCGGACGGATTGCTCAACGTCAGGAGTTCGAAACCAGCCTGAGCGAGACCCCGTCTCTACCAAAAATAGAAATAAATTAATTGACCAACTAAAATATATATATAGAAAAAATTAGCCGGGCATGGTGGCGCATGCCTGTAGTCCCAGCTACTCGGGAGGCTGAGGCAGAAGGATCGCTTGAGCCCAGGAGTTTGAGGTTGCTGTGAGCCAGGCTGACACACGGCACTCACTCTAGCCTGGGCAACAAAGTGAGACTCTGTCTCAAAAAAAAAGAGAGAAATTATAAAATAGCAAAGGTCCATATGAAATGATGTATGAAAATTAGGAAATACTAATGGAAGAACGTGAAAACAAAAACACAACACTCCAATCAACTTTTCTTAAACTGCAACTTTATTCGGAGCAGGATAATTTTATTTTCCTTACATAAAGTTAACGCTTTTAAACACCTTAGGACAAACTATTCAAAAAGCAACGTTTTATTTCAGAAGGGTCTTGCTTCAGTGGTTTTCTGTCCTCCTATCTTATCATTATGAATATTTGCTTTATAAATAAATATATCATCAGTTATTCCATTGTAATCAAATCAGGTGTCTAAACTGCTGTCTGTGTTGAGATTTCTGAGATCAGAAGACTTTGTTCAGGTCATTTTAAATTCACATTAGCACAGTGTCTGTAAGAACCTGATAATACAGATTAATGTGATATTTGCCTCCAGTTTGTCTTCTTAATGGTTTCCAGGAGAAGGTCCTCACAATAAATTATATGAAAGTACAGTACATTTGGTTGGAAACTGTAAAAATAATTCTAAAAAGAAACCACATACATTAAACAAACACATTGCTACAGTATGCTTAAAATGACATAATTAGTATGTCAAGCATTTTCCTATAAACATATTGCTTTTGGTCACACACTGAGTTGAAATGGAGAGCCTAAATTCCCTTTTTCCCTCTCCTAAATGGCACAGAACAATGACTTCATGGTAGGGAAAAGCTACTTCATGAGAAAACATGGTGTCCATTAACTCCGACAGTACCTGTATTTGCACTTTTTTTTGAGACAGAGTCTCACTGTGTTGCCTGGGCTAGAGTGCCGTGGTGTCAGCCTAGCTCACAGCAACCTCAAACTCCTGGGCTCAAGCAATCCT